GGAAAAAACAATAGTTACCTGGATACCAATTCCCTCATTTTCATCGAGAATCGACACCACAATGGAAGATGCGTCTGTTCAGGTGTAAATTCAACGAGTGGATAATTGGTGACCTTCGATCGACCAAACAAGGAACAAATGCTCCTCGGTCGGACGATCAGAGGGTCTAGAAATCGTTCGCGCAAATAATGCTTCGAACGATTTATACTCGCGATTCGTTCCTCGGCGTTCTCGATCAGTTGGTTCTCCTTCGACCTGACTGTTGCTAATGCGAGTTCTCTGCCTCGCTGGTCGAGATCGAACGCAGAAATCGGCAGTCGGACGTTTGGTGGCGCCGTTTCGTTTGCATCCAATAATGTCTTTATCTGTTGTCGAAAAAAAGATGTTCTTAGTTACAAACACGTTATTCGGAAAGTGTGAAAATATTTTTTGCAAAGGTTCTGTTTTGGGAAACGTATAAAAGTCTATCAAACAGGCTGTTCATATTTAATTTCTCTCCACTTAGTTCCTCTCTATTTGAAACTGAAATTTTGTGATATTTCTTGCTAACAAAGGATGAGTTAAATTGTAGTTGATGTGATATTTCGTTAAATACAAGTGTAAAAGAAGAAGCTTTCAAAGATGATACGTGCAATATTTTATACGGTCGAAATCCAGTCATGCGAGCAAAATTCGATATTTTTTTAAAGTATTACTTTTTTATAGAATATTTTTACGGATATCCTTAGATTATTCTTATAGATGTAACTTAATTTCCGTTTCTGAAGAATTCTATCCATGTATAGAGTTTTCCACTGTAAAGTATAAAGAAAGAAAATTTTTCACAGTAAAAAACATTCTACATGTTAACAACGAAACGAACGTTCGTGCAATTTCAATCATAACGTTCATCAAACTCAACATTTGTTACTAGGACTGCGGATTTTTATAGATTTATAAGAAAGTTGAAAGTGCAAGATTACACAAAAAGCATATAATACAAAAAAATACATAAAATATTCATAGAATAATGCTTGTAATATCTGACATGTAAAACAATTTGTTACTAAGGTTCTAAATTCAATTGTATTCTTGGAAACATGAATTTGTATGAAAATCCTAATAGTCATTACAATGTCTATTGCTTTAATAGTCGATTAAACAAGCTCCAAAATGTACTAGTTACATTGTAATAAATATTTAATTCAATGTATCCAAATGAACGAGAAAAATCGCTTCTCACACAAAAGAGGAGGAAAGAAAAAGCAACAAAAGCAAGCGTTAAGATAAATTTTAAGAACGTTATTATAATACAGAAATAAATAACATGAGAGTATTAATATAACATAATAAAAATATATAGTACAAGTATAAATGTAAGTATTAATAAATATAATAATTAGTGTTAGAAAATAAGATAAGTAAGATAAAGATAGATAAATATGAACAAGTGAGATAAATGTGGTAATTACAGTAATTGATGAGAATAATGATGATAAAAATATTAGATTGAAAAAATAAATATAGCACATAAACTCAGTAAAGTATTACATAGGGGAAAAAATTGTAAAATTTGCTAGTGTGCTATATAAAAGGGATGAGTTATACTTATATAACATAAGATGTTGAAATAGACCAGGTTTTTATATGTTTTATATCTTTCTTGAAGCAGGTGTTGTTAATTTTATTGCACAGTTTTATTTACCTTACATTTCAATTCCTTCCAATCATTAAGAAGAGAGAGACGCGTTTCCAGAGCTTGTTTCTCCTCGGCCATCAACCGCCGGTGAAGCATCGCGTCCATCCACGTATCCGCTTCCTCGTTCTCTTCGTTCTCCGTCGCGTCTGCTCGTCTTCTCGTTTCCAAACGGCTGAGTGTCATCCAACGAAAAGACCCGGTCGACTTCGAACCACGATTTTCCTGTTCTGATCCAACCGTTCTGACAGGCAGTAAGAGAGTTAGTCGAAGTAATTAACGACGAGAAAAGGAAAAAGCTGATTAACCGTGCGTGTGGTAACCTATTGGCGACCAAATCGCCGTTTCTACCCAGGGAAACGATCGTGCCGTTGACAAGGATTGCACATCGGCCACCAGCCTCTGCGCGATGATGCCCGACGAACAGAGCGAATACACGTCGCAGTTGAGTGCAATCTCTCCAAACGATCAGTCCGTCGAATCCGCAGGTGATTACGCTCGAGGATGAAGATTTCTTGTGATGCACGGCGATTGAGATACACCTGGTTTGGTGTAGAGATGGTAGAGCTTCTGATAGTAAAGCGCCTTGGAAATCTTCCTGCGAATTTATTACAATAATTTATCTTCAATGCACATATAATATAAATCATTGTAACTGGAATGATAATAATTCAAACAACGAATAAATATAGATTTACACGAACAGAAATCAACATTAATTTGGACGAAAAAATCCCTTTATCTTTTTAGACGATTGTAAAAAAGGAATATGTCGATTTGGTTATTCTAGTATACTTTAAGATGAATGTTTCGAACATGTGAAGTGAAGAGAGTTATTGAAAAAGTTACACGATTGACAGAAGTAGTTTGAATTAATGCAAACATGAACGATACGACTATATAGTATATGTGAATTTAACAACAAATTTAAAACCATGTTCGACTAACTGATTGATTTTATGAGGGTACTTTCAGGAAATTCTTTTTTTTTCTTAATGGCACCCTTCTGACAGAGCAGGAAGGTCTTAATTATACGTTTCCAGGTCATTAGAATTTATCGAATACTAAATGTTCTTAATCTCTTTTAGAATAGACACGTGATGTAACATATTCGTGTGACGATAATTTTACTTTCAACTCTATTCGATGCAACTGCTTCGTGAGATATGGAACGCCAATTATGTCGCAGCTCGATTCTCTTCCGTGGTGAAGACGCTCGAAGGAAGACAAAAGCTTTATCGAGTAATCTGCGTCCTTCGCGCAGTTAAATAATCGGTCAAATAATCGACACGAGTATACGACGATCTCGTTTCCAGCTCGGGAATCGTTCGAGTCGGCAAGGAGCAGCACTTTAGCTCGATCTCGGTCCACTTCGTAGATCAGAAAATCGATTATCTAGCGAACAAGAAGGGGAACCAATGTTTTGCAAAAAAAAAAAAAAA